GCGAGCCCAGACAGGTTCACGAAGGCTAACTACAGACCCCAAGAGGAAGCGTCAAATTTCGTGAGTATCCTGCAGATATCTCGGCTGCAGCTAAGGTCCTTTTACCTACTTTCCAACGTGCCTGGCGCAATAGGCACAGCGTAGCTTCGAGACTCAACTCAAATCTACAAAACCACTGATGTGTACGAAGCACCTTGCTGCAGCCTTAGATTGAAGAGAATGCAGTGGCTTCCAACAGCGACTCATCACACAGCCAGCAGTCCTGCTCCCAGATATTTACCCAAGAGAAACAAAAGTCTACCTTAACACAAAAATCCTATATGCAAATGTTTCTAATAGCTTTAAGGTGGAATTACCAAAACCTGAAACAACTAAAATGTTCCTCAGCTGCAGAATGGAAAAGCTATCTGCCCAAGCAGCCTTCAAATGGAATACCACTTAGCAATAAAGAACATACAGCCGGTGCACGTGACAGCATGAATCTCAAATGTGTGTGACATTCATGGCCACACACTGTAAGATGCCATTCCTATGATATTTCTGCAAAGGCAGAATGCTAGGGACAAAAAACAGAAGGGTGGTTGCCGGGGGCTGACTACAAAGGGCACAAGGGATTCTTAGGGTGACGGAACTGCACTCTGTGTTGACTATGCTGGTGATTAGATGACTGCACGTATTTGGCAAATCTTGCAAACCTGTGCTACAAAAACGGTGAATTGTATGCGTCTCTCCCAAGGAAAGGTCTTATTTGTCTTCTCCGAGGTTGTCAGCTGAGACCCATGAGGTCATTACACTGCTGTGGAAAATCTCCTCTGCAAAATAAATTGTGACACTGCTCCAGCTACATACGACACCATCCTTCTGCAGATCAATCACACAACTGTCCCAGAATGGGGACTGAACCTACACACCCTGCTCTTTTCAGGAGACATCAGTAAATCCATTCAATCATTCAGCTCTCTAGCCAGAGCCTAGGCACCCTCCCTGATTACGTGAAGGGCCAGTCCCCACCAAGGCCAGTGTCACTGGGTCCGGACTGTCGTGACTGCCCATGGCTCTGTTTACACCCTTGGTGGTTCCTCTGCCCGGCATACCCTGCACTCTCTCCATTTGCTCAGAGAGCTCCTCGCGTTCCTTCCTGCTTTCCTCTTCAGACAGAATCTTCTCCTTTAACGAGTCTTTTTGTACGTATCTCCCCTCCCCTGAAGTCTAGATCACCCGATTATCTGGGTGGGCGGCTCCTGCCCAGCTCCCTGCGATTAGAATTGCAGTTCTGTCCCGCTGCACTCCTCACGACGCCTTTCAAGTCTGTGTGAATTACTTGATTGATGCCAAAAATGTGGATCTGGGAGAAATTTTCTTTATAATTTGGATTTTGGGATAAAGCCCCAGAGGAAATACTTACTACGTTTATGGGATTCACTTGCCGAATTTTCCCTCTTTCCATACTGAATTGCAAATGGACTTCCGTTTTTCTTGCTGCCTTTAGAAACAAGCGGGGAAGACATCTCACAGTTCACCCAGCATTCAGGGAGCTGCCCGCCAGACCACGCAGGCTGCACGTGTTTATGGGGATCACTCCCTTGCTTCTCTCTTCCTGGGATGGTGATGTGAGCTTGCGGGAAAGGCACGCTGCCACCATCTGCTTCTTAAAAACTGCCCAGACAGCACAAGTGACCATGCAGTGGACCCCAGAAGACAGAGGCCAACGTCAAAGCTGGACCGCTGGAACTCTTGCAAACAGAAAGGAGCCATTTATTGCCAGGGCTGGGAATGCACGTTTCCCACCGATTAATCGAAAGTCTTGCTTCCTGTTTCATATTTCAGAAGAGTGCCCTTGATGGGCAAGGCCCTTGCTTTGGACAACGAACAAGGCCAACGATGAACATCTACTCTTCCATGCAGGGTGGGAAATATACGGTTTGGTAAAGAGCCAGAAGACCTGACTTCTGTCTGTTGGGGGCGGAAAAATAAAACACGTCCATTTGCAGGTTCCTTCTGAAGTCTGAAGAGATATGTCCTAGACCCTCATGACATGCCGTCTCCTACCCTGCCTTCCTGCCACCAAGGCTGCCAGTGTCCCGCTGAAGCATCCCCTTCCTTGTGGCCTAAAGCATCCTAATTGCCACCTCGGACACCAGGCTTAGGAGGAAAAGAGGGGACCGTGGAGGGGATGGAGACCCGGACAGACCTCCCAACACCCACCTCCTGCCCCACATAGGCACGGAGGGAGGACCAGGTACAGAGCAGTGACGGCTGAGGCACGAGCATCCAATCTGCCACCCAGAACTTACTGGCCACTTCCTTCCGGCAGAGAAAGCCAGGTGGGAAGGCAGAACTTGATTGTGTGCAGTTTGCTGGTGCATAAGGAGCGAGAGTACCGTGATCAGGGAAACGTTTTCTTCTTCTTTTTAAGATGGAAGGGAGCCAGGAATAGGTTGAGGAGACGGTCTCTTTGGATCTGGAGGCTCCATAAATGGCGGCCTAACCAAAACGTTAGGATTTGACATAAACATGGAAAACCACCCCAGAAATAACACTTCAACACGAGGCATTTCTTTTCTTTCTTTTTCCTTGAAGACATTCTTGTGGGGTATCCCCCAAAACACACAATGACTTGAAGAAAATGCAACACTCTCTCTCTCAATGCCAACTCTGCCCATGGGACGTTACTTCCACGACGCTGACAAATTAGGGAAAGGAGCTGGCGGAATGTTGCACAAAACTGACATTTGCAACTGTCTATCCATTGTTGTGTCCCAGCGCTCCCTCCCTGCTGCCTAGTTACAGAAGCTTTATAGACAAACACGAACTCAGGAAGCCAACCTTTCTGGGGAGGGGTGGAGATTTCTGTGTTTATTCTGAGAGGCCAGCAAAGCTTGCGCTCCAGGGCCCCGGGGACCAGCCACCAGCACAGCTCTGCCTCTAGGTTATAGAGAACTGTGTCTCCCACATCCAATGCCAGTTCCAGTTTGTGATTTGCTCACACATTTTGACTCTCTTTGACTGTTTTCATGCCCTTGGGCAAAGGTGCTTATAAATGGAGAGAATCTTGAATTCCACGCTAAGTGTCAACAGGGGAGCAGGGTTTGATGCGAGGGATTTCCACCGCAAGCGTCTCTGGGAATCTCTGCTCCGCAACAGAACAACTGTGCTCTCAGTGGGCGGCTCCTGTAAGTGCCCAGGGCTGAGAGAGACATCAGAGTGGTGGTTGTAACTTCCCTGATTTCCAGGAATGAGGTAGTACATATTTTGTTTTCTATACCAGTTCTTTATCCTATGTCCTGGCAACGGCTACTCCGAATGATCTAACATACATGCAGAAAGAATGTGCACTTTTCATGGGTAATGCTAGCTGGGAGCCCAAGTGACAGTTACAGGCTTGGGGAGGGTGCTTATTCAAGGTGTAACGTGCCCAACAGAGTTGAGCACTTTTGCCTGGACAGGGAAACTGAGGCTTAGGTGGGGTAAATGACTTGTTCAAGGATCAGAGCTTAAATCATTCTGGCTGGCTCCAAGGCCTCCACCTCCCCCTTCTGTGCCAGTTCTGAAAGGGCCTGGGCCCAGGGGCTCCTAAACTGGTTTTCCCTCAAACCCAGTACGTGCATCTCCAGGAGGTGGGGCCAAGGAACTGGGGCTGCCTTTCCAGATAATCAAGTTCCAGAATATATACAGTATGTATCAAGGGCACAGAGCTTACATATGCCCCAAACCAACTGTTACTGTTTGAATTGTGTCCCAAATTCATATGTTCAAGTGCTAACCAACAGTACACACTTCAGAATGTGGCTCTATTTGGAAACAGGGTCATTGCAGATGTAATTCATTAAGATGAGGATGCACTGGAGTGTGGTGAGCTCCTAATCCAATATGAGTCCATCTTTATAAAAGGGAAATACGGATACATTTGGACACAGATAATAGGGAGCCAAAGAATGCCAAAGATGGCCAGGAAACCACCAGAAGCTAGAAGAGACACAAGGAACAGATTCACGCTAAGGAGGAAGCAACCGGCCGACACCTTGATCTTGGACTTTTGTCCTCAGGAACTACAAGACAATGTATTTCTTTTTAAGCCATCGTAGCTATGACACTGTGTTACAGTAGCCCTAGAAAACTAATACACCCATACTTTATATCACTTAGGAAAACATGGTGTGGACCCAACACGAGGGGATGATAAACATGCCACCAGGGAGGCAGACACAGGAAGGGTCCCCGTTGAGACAGTTTGCTCCTTAAGTTGAATGAGTAGTTGGGTACCAGGATGTTTTCTCCATTAATGAATGCCATTTTTGTATGTCTTAAAGTAAATATCTTTAGGTTTTAAAGGTTAAAAACCATTTTTATTTTAGAGCTCCAATGACTTGTAAGAGGAATTCTGCTGGTCCATGACAAAGCCAGGCCTGACCCTGGCCTCAGGCTTCTTTCCACCCCATCCTTGTTCCTAGAGGGTGGTGGCTGCTAAGCACAAGGTCCACTTTGTCAAAGGGGAACATTGTGTTTGGTCTTTCAATTACTTACCATAAAGTAATGTCTTGGGCACGATCAAAAATATCAGAAGAAACTAGAATGATTCTTAAGTTTGAGAACATTGCGTAGGGCCCGTTTGCTGGGTAGGCAATTTGGAAGCTGAATAAACCTCTACTGCAAAATCTACGAGGCTCAAGTGCACATTCCAGCCCATAAACGCCCTCACCGTGGCAGAGGACAAGGGCCCTGAATTGTGCACGCCCAGGTCGACCATGTTCACCACACCGGCTCTCTCCATGTTAATTTCAGTCGGATTTCATGGGAACCCACGTGTCAAGGGGAAAAAGAACATGATCCCTCATCCCACCCCGGGGATGGGATAGCCCCAGCACCCTCTCTACTCCCCTTTGACGCTCTTACTAAGAAAGCCCTTAGCTCTTTCTGCCCGAGTTTCCATCAATGGTTGATCACTCTGCTCACGGTACATCGAAGATGAATTTCTTAAGACAGAAAACCAAGCCCCTTACCTGACTCTTGGAGATACCGATACACCAGAAAGTTCACCTCGTCACTGGTTATGCTCATTTTAGCCTCACCTTGCGGCGATGAGGTGTTATGAAGTGCGAGCCACCCTCTGTCAGAAAAAAGCAGAAAGAGAGTGTTTGAAACGTTGCCTCTGTGTGTGTGTGTGTATACATATATTTTTTTTGCTATACCCTGGCGCTAGCTTGGGCAGGCATAGCTGGATTAGACGGGAAGCACTTCTGCAGAGAGATGGGGAAGAATGAGTCATGTTCAGTCCTGTCCACACCCCTAGGAAGAGAAGTAACCAGAAGGTCCTGGAGAAATGGTTACTCGCAACACCTGTCCCTCACAGGAGTGTGAACAGTTGGAAGTTTATGCGAGGAGCTGTGTGCTCACTCCCCCGACGGCTGCAGGAGTCTGAGCAGGAGCACCCACGGGTGGCTGAGTCACTGGACGCCGTCAGTCTGGCTGAGACCTCTGGTGCCAGGAGGCAAGTGGAGACTTGAGGCGTGGGCTGGGGGCCTGTGAAAATCACAGGGGCCTCACGTCCGAGGCAGCCAGGAAGTGAGGTTTTCCTCAAAACCATCCTAGTTAGACACGAGAACAAACCAGCCCAAAGAGAACAATCGAGCGATGGGACTCTTGCATACAGATAAACCACCATCTACACGTCGGCAAGAACTGTTCCCTCCACACAGTGGTGACCCCTACAAAGGCCACCACAACTTATTTCAATTATGTCACACCACTACATATGTGCAGGCATTTTGCGAGTTGTCTCGGTGTCCATGTCATACGTCTTCAGGCATCTTTATGGGCAGCAAAACTCTTATTGGTGAATGAAGAATAAGTTTTTGTTTGTCCAGAAAAAGACAAAAGGACAAAGTATACATTCAAGTTGGAACTTATATTACATTTATGGAGAGGACTTCAACTAAATGTTGCCGTTAGGGACACGCCTGAGCCCCAACAAGTCCGCCCTGACATGACCCCCTTCCCTCGAGTATGGGTGCGACCTGGGACTTGCTCCTGCTCCTATCCCCACGGGATACGTCGGAGGAGACCGGGTGCACGTTTCTAGGTTAGGTTACGTCATGCGGCCGGTTACGTCAAGGCTGACCAGATGTGTGTCGCATCCTACAAGACTGTCTTTGCAGACCGGAAGAAGAGACCGTCCGCTGGCCGTGAAGACAGAAACCGCCATCATGGGATCTGTCCAGGGATCGGCAGGCAGCCTATGGGGAGCTGAGGGCTTTCGTCCTACCGTGCTTCCCCGAAAATAAGACAGGGTCTTATATTTATTTTTTCTCAAGAAGACACCCTAGGGCTTATTTTCAGGGGATGTGTTATTTTTTTTTAAGTACGGTACAACAATCTACATTGATTCAAATATAGTTAAGTCGTCTTCCTCTGTAACATCATCATCACTCTCCAAACCCCGAATCCCATCCTGAATTTTTTTGCGACTATTTCCTTTAGAACCATCGGCCGCAATCTCTCATGTGGAGCACTAGAGCTCTCATGGGGCAGATGAGAAGGGCTGCTCGTCTTCTTTCCCGCTCCGCGACGAAATGCACGGGTCGTGCAGATGCGCTGCGCAGCCACGCCCGTCCCTAGGGCTTATTTTTGGGGTAGGGCTTCTATTGCAAGAATGGTTAGTAGGGCTTATTTTATGGGTAGGTCTCATTTTCGGGGAAACACGGTACAACCCCAGGAACTGAATCCTGCCAACGATCTGAACTTGGAAGGAAACCCCAAGGCCTCAAATGAGAATGCAGCCCAGCTAGCACCCTAACTGCTAATCCACAGAAACGGCGGATAGTCACTGGGTGTTGTTCCAGGCGGCTAGATTTGTGGGGGTTTGCAATGCAGCAGCAGGTACTACAGCTGCCTGAGAAGGTCATTGCACTTCTCAATCTGTACTCTTAATAGGGTTTTATTTTACAGTGGTCAGAACTTTGCCCCTCAAAAACGCAAAAAGGTTAAAAAATGAAGCATCAGAGAAGATAACCAATGTAAATCCCAGAGGAGCCAAGATTTCAAGTTAAGTTGCCTGACGTTAAACACTGTGCTCTCAGGGTGTGGGTTAAAGTTTTTGAAGCCACATAATGGAAAGATGTTTCTGGAAGCACCCCAAATCAGGTGGGGGGTGACCACAAAACTGAAAAGAAGGCTGACCTGGTTAATAGTGTGACATAGTGTGACCCCACTTGTGGGAAAATATCTAGATAGGAAAAGTTAAGGGAGAAATACATAAAAACATTTTATGTTTTCTTTCAGATACTTATCTTCATTAACCAATAAGCATATACATATTATCTTATAATAAGAAAACATTCCTCCAAAAGAAAAGAGTTCTCATTAACTTTACTGTTATATTTACCTGGAGTTAAATGGTCCACAATGGTGAATATAATCAAAGAACTATTTTTTTCTTTTAACCAGAATGTAAATGCTTGCAGCTCCTCCATTTAAATATGAGAATAAACATTTCAAATAAGACACAGTCATTAAAAGAGCATTTCATGACTAAGGAAAATGTCTATGACACAGTACTGTATGGAAAAAGTAGGTTTCCATAAAGCACGGTGGAATGTACAAGATGCTAAACTGTGTTTTGTACACATGCACACACACGTACAAATGGAAGATGCCCTCCAAAATGTACTGGCAACTATCTCCGGGGGTATGATTACACTGGATTTATATCTGTGTACATGTGTGTGCCTTTTTATAGTTTGCATATTTCCTCCAGTGGACAGGGACTGCTTTCATATTTATTAAAATATAATTAAAACCTAGCAATGTCTTCAGAAATGACCCATATGAGAATGACCAGGTAAGAAGAGATGAGGCTCCAGGGTTGGGTGAGTGGAGGAGAGGCTTTGTATTAGAAACAGAATGCAGCTCTTCATGGGATAAAACAGCCCCCAACAGTGAGACACTCAAAAGGATCCTGTCTGTCCCCCACTCCCCTTCTGGACTAATTGAAGCCTGGCTGGGGCTTCTATCCTAACCCCACGTGCACGTTAACTGCAGATGCTATAGAGACAGGGAAGCCCCCTTGAAAATGCTCAACCTAGCAACAGCAAACCACTACTAGGAAGGTCCACATCACACGAGCCAAGCAATGCACACAAGCAGACCTGCATGATTTTCCTGTAACACTCTCCCTTCTCCACAGCTAGATGTAAGTTCACGTACCCAGATTTCAATGCAGACTGCGTCGGGAGAAACCGACAGCTACCACTTCCACATAAGAGGAGTCTGTCCTGTTTTTCTAGCAACTCTGGTCTTCCAAGCCAACACTTCTGATATCTAGATCAATTACGACCTATTTTCTAGCCAGAAATTAACCTGCATATTGTAGTTATCTTTCAGACAGAGAGAGTGAACACAGATTTTACATAATATGCACTAGGCTTTCAACCCAATTTTAGGAATACACACAGTCAAGCTATGAAACCTCTACAACACTGTGATTTCTCACCTAAATATGAAGGATTTGATTTTGGCCAGGACAAATCCCTTTCTCGTGGTAGGTGGGGTCACCTATTCACACAGTGTGGCCTACACAGCTGTGAAAAATAAATCTGTGGCTTTCTCTGCAGACATAAAGTCAGGCAATACCTCAACCCCTAAGATAGCCTGGATCTCCTATAAATGTTGGTGTTATATCTGTTTTTGATGCTTCCATTTAAATGAATCACAACGAACTTTTTTAAAAAGGAAAAAAACTGAAAGCATCATGAACTCAAATATTAGATTGGGGGGGGGTCCCCCACCATTCTCACGTTTATGCCAGCAAAGGCAGGAGCTAAAGTTTTATAATTAAGTGCTCAGCAGCTTAAAATTCCACGGCCACAAGCCTGCTAACGTTGAAAGTACGGAATAAAATCCTGGCAGCAGCAGCGAGCAGGGCTCCTCAGTGTCCCCCCGAGATGTGGGGCTGGCTCAGTCTTTGCTGTCAGGGGCTGCCCTGTGCACTGCAGGGCGTGTGGCAGTAGCTCTGCCCCAGCTGTGACAAACAGAAACGTCTCCAGACATTTCCGAGTATCCTCTGGAAGGGGGATTCCCCCCGGGTGAGACCCCGCAGTTTGGGCAGTTACGTAACTTCCTTGTGTAAAAGCCTGACTCCTCCACTGTCCACAGTGCTTTTGCTAAAGTAACCACAATCTAGGTTCTGTCTTAACCACATCATGGCCCCGTGTGGGCCTCTCGGAGACTCACCTGCAACTCAGAAGGCCACAGGTAGGAGAGGTGGAAAGAAAACAGTTGTATCCTCTAGGTTAGGGCCATAAACACCTGATATCAGTCTATGAATAAAGTTTTATTGGCACTCAGCCACAGTCACTCGTTCGGGTATGGTCCATGCTGCTTTCGGCCTGCAACGGCAGAGCTGAGCAGCTGCTGCAGGGGACCGCCTGGCCCACAAAGCCCAAGTCCCGCACCACCTGCCCAGCCGGAACATGCTTGCTGACCGTGTGCTCCATCTTTCGCATCCTGCTGCAGATTTTCCCGTTTCTGCATCAGGGAACAACTGCCTCGCCCCTTCTTGGCTTGAAATATTCCTTCCCCAGAAGCTGAATGGTGAAACCCCTGACTGTGAATGTTCCTTGTAAACATACCAACGCCCTTAAGACCAAGATCCGAGAAAATAGGACCACTGAGGTTTGCTGTGGATGGCTTTGAAAGGAGGGCACGCACTGAAACCCTACAAATCTAAGGGAACAGTCACAAGCCTTCACTTTCTGATGCGCAATACTCCAGACAGACAGACAGACCTTGCTCTTTATAGACTTCTCCCACCCCACTGACAACTGCAGCAACAGGGCGGCATTTGGGCGGGCAATCCCACTCGACCGTCTGCACGTATACTCTGCACAATGAGTCCTCCATGGCTACAGAAACACTCAAAGTGACGTACAAGGCAAAACACAAATACCTCAAGGACAATAGGAATTCGATCAGTGCGTGCCCAATTGAAGTAAATCAAAACTTACATTCCCCAAGTGCTAAATTAATACCCAGTCAAAACACTAGTGAGAAACTGATCCCCTCTCTCATCTTCCCTCTGACATTTAAGACTACAGTTCAATAGCACTGCAAAAAATATTGACTAATAGTGCAGACACTTAGAATAGTCTGACAGCTCCTCAAAATATTAAATGTGGAGTTACTATATGACCCAGCAATTCCACTAAATATACGCCACAGAGAAATGAAACATACGTCCACACAAATCTTGTATGTGATTGTTTATAACATCATTATTCAAAACAGCCAAAAGGTAAATACAACCCAAATGTCCATCAACTGATGAATGGATAAACAAACGTGTCTGCCCATGGCACATCCACACGATGGAATATTATTCTGCCACAAAAAGGCATGATACGCTACAACACAGATGAACCTTGAAAATCTTTTACTGAGTAAAAGAGGCCAGTCACAAAATTCAACTTATTATTGTAAACTTTTGGTTTTATTAGCAAACTACACTTTCCAAATATTTAAGTCAAGACTGAAATACTTACACATTTAACTTGTTAAAACAATTTATGTAAGTCTGGTTTTAAACAAAAGTACCTCAAACAATAAGGTTCTTATTTTAGTTAAATTTAAGTCTATTATTTTAGTTGTAGTTGGTTCTCTTCAAACAGTAAAGAAGAATCTTCCCTAAATTTCCATCTTTATGTTTTAAAATTACCAAAGTTTTGCAGGGTTTTGTTTTGATTTTTACTAAAAATTAAAGAACCAGAAAATCCAATAACAAGTAAATAAAATAAAACCCCAATATCCCACATACCAAAGGTAACAAGATAACTTTTACAGAACTTTTGGGGAGTACGGTATCCATTTTAGTTTTGGACATGGGCTTCAACCCCTGACATCTGTTTACAAACAATGGTTTGCTATTCTGGAAACCTTAGTGTCTCACCAGACTTATACATAGTAACCTACATGATTTTCTAATAAGTTTCAAGGTTAACTAGCAAATCAATTTGCAGAAACTAATAAAGCATAGAATTAAGACACAGGAGCCAAATAAAATCTCTACTCATGTGCCCAACTATAATTAACTTTCCTGCATAATTATTATTCATAATGTTGACAAGAGAGGTTGATTTTAGAAGGTGTCTTCCTTGCCCGGTAAGACCCAACCCAGAACAGTTTGTTATAGCTCATTCAGGATCCAAAATTCTTAGAAGGCAGTGAAAGGCTAATTCCTCACTCAGAATTAATGATACACCTCATAATGATTTAATGATGTTCTACGTAGTGCCTTCAATTTCAGCAAGGAGGAAGACCTGCAACTTCCTCCTGGGGAAAAAAAATCATTTCAAATAGGAGAGGTTCAGTTTTGGCAAAATGCAGTTCTGCTTCTGAACTGGAGTCCAGGTAAAAATACAAGGATCTGATGGCACATGGGGCCACTCACCTTTATGGTGACTTCATGTGTAGACCTTGGGACCAGTGGGCTTCCCAGCATCCAATCATAGAAACAGCGACCAGTCTGCGGCTACCAGCCTAGGGAGAAAGGGGAAGATTTGAAAAAATAAAAAAAAAGACTTGCGTTCACCTCTCACCCTTCCCAATCCTTTAGGTTTCTCTTTCCTCCTGACTCAAACTTAACATTTTATTGGTTCATCCTTTCTATCTTAGTCCTTAGCAGAGACTGTAAGATATTGTTTGCAAAGTGAAAAAAAAGGAGAAATTAAAATGGCCAGTCAGGCAGTATTTTGCATGCAGAAATTCTGAAAGAGTTTCAGAAGAGACAAAATCAGTATTAGCTCAGATATTGCTACTGTTATTGTTTAATGATAAAGTAACCGTTCACTTGAAATATCTTTGTTTTCGGGACAGTGCCTTGTGCAACTGGTAAGTTAACGTGTAAACACCATCAGGAGAAGACAACACTGTTTTGTGAAACTTTATACATTGCTTGGGCTGGGTTTCTAACAACCCCAGCAAGCACACTTGCGTGCATATACCCTCCCTCATGTACTATGCTTGTAAAAACACAGAAACAAGTTAGAATAGTTTTCCCTTTGGCTCTGCCAAAATAAAGACAGACAAAGGCACCAACAAATGTGTCTCAACTTTTCAATCACTGTTCTCAGACATTTTCATTCCACAGGGGTTCCATTTATACAAACCTAGCTGGGTTTGTAGCTCATAAAATGATAATCCTTTATAACAAAAATTGCCTTTAGTTTTCAGGCACTATAAACACTAATCAGCCAATCATCATTTACTTAATAATATTTATCTTCTTCCTTATAAAATTTCTTTGGTTGTTAATTAATTCAGCCTCCTATAAAGCTTGAATTATCCACTATCTTCTATAAACTCAAGAACTTAAGGAAATTAAACGTCTGCCATTTTCTCTATCTTCCTATTCAATAGTTTTAAGTGACAATAAAAATGTGCCAGGTTCAATATAATTCAAATCCACAAGCAAAGCTATGAGTGAAGGTGTTTCTTATAAGTGAATTTATATAGAACCTCATGAGTTTTAAGGAAATTCAAGTAAATTATTCCCACTGAGTCATGTTTATAGTTATGCTATTTAAAGGAAACAGATTAAATGAATTCTATAGGCACCTAAATTCCATTACAGTACTTTAAAACAAATAAGGATATATAAGATAACCAAGGCAATTTTTAAAAAATTGACCACTGAAGAAAAATAATGAGAATTAAACAAAATTCATCTATAAGTCTTTGAATAGAAATGAAAAGGCACCAGAATGAAGCAGGCGCAAAGGGAATGTTGATTTTGCTTTTCAAATAAAAATACATTTGATTATGAAAAAACTTCTGCAGTGGAGATGAAACAGGACAATACCCCTATAGTAAAAGCTGAAGCAAATTACTATTTTGAGGACTGGGTTGTAAATTACCAGGGGGGAAAAAAGCCTTATGATGAAATTGCTAAATACCAAAAAGTATCAAAATATGAGCAGATGCCACCACAATAAGCTCCAAATTGCTTCTAACTTAAAACATTAAAATCCATAATAATTCAATAAGTAATTAATATACAAACAGCTCTTATTACAAGCTGTTCAGAAAAAAGCTTTAGAGTCAAATTCCTATTCTTTGGTCCAAAACAGATGGTAACTCACAAATTAGAGTCTTGAAATGGAAGATTATCTTTTATATATGTTGTTAAACTCAGTAACTATAATTAACTTATCATCTGCGTGTGATCAACACAAAAAAATGGAAATTATGACTTGGGTTAATAACATTCTTCTGGTTACGCAACATGTCAAAACTAATTAGTTTATTACTAGAAACAAATTAAAATGAGAAATCAGACCTTCCAATACCTTGTCATGATTGACTTTCCCATTAGTAAGTACACAAATAAAACCATTATTAATAAACAATGCTGGCAAGAGAGTTTATATATCGCAAAACGTTTGTGTGAAATACAAATGATTTTAACAAATGCAGTACATTGTTTTTAAAAGTAAATGACAAAATTGGATAAACATAAAAGGTGTCCTAATTTTCTGGTAGACCTCAGCTCTTGGCATGACATAGCATGGCACACTGTACATGCATGCTGACAGTCTTCCATGGAGGAGGTGTAAGTCCTTGTAAGTGTTCTTAGTCGTGCTACACATATTAAGAGAATTAAACTCAAACACTGTAATCAAATAAAATATAAAATAATTTAGAAGCTGCTAATTCACCAGCCTTCCTTTCCCAACCCACTTATCTATCCGTTAGCCACACAAGCACACCTTGCCGAGAGACTCCAGAGTGCCACTACTGAGTTCTTGCCAATGGTATGTAAGGAGACATAAACCTTCTGGGTTTTGCCTTTACAACACTGTCCTGTGAGAGCCACTTCTGACCTTTAGGAATGGCAGAAGAGCAGGACTGCAGGAACCTGCATGCCCCAGTGCCCTTTGAGATTTGTTACCTACCCTTCTCGGCTACTGCCTACCTTTGGGCTGCTGTAAGAGAGAGAAGGCATTTTCTCCTTTGAGCCACTGCAGTTTTGATGTCTAGCCTATTCCCTAAGCAGAATACAGAATCCCTGGGGATGCCCTCTGTTTTCCTTGTATCCTGTGCTTCCTTTTGTCACACCACCCGTAACACACATCACACCCTTCCTCAAGCTGATTTCTGCAGTCTAGGCTTGACATATACAGCACACCTAATAAATGTCAGCTTAATGAATGAATGTGAGAATGAATGAATAATGTACCAGGTATGTAATCAATCACAACATTACAGTAGCTGATTATACACCTTTTAATATGGCAGATTTCAGAATCCCTCTAACACATTCATTTCTTTATGGCCTTAATTTTATTGCAAAACAAGGGGGAAAATGCAGCATTTTAACAGGGTCGGCTCACCGTTTGATGTGGCTGGAACAGACCTGAGCGTACATGAGCCAGTCACCTACAGTTAATCGTCTGCCTTTTCATTCCTTCACACAATGATTGTTTCATAAAGCTGAAAAGTTACAAAGGCCTAGCCAAGCATCGTCCAAACTCAACAGCACCTCAGCTGAATTCCATCCTAAACGCAAATCAGCTGGTTTTGTTCCCTCTCAATTACAAATCCTATACATTGCTTTCCAACAGTGCTTTTACGAACACCTGCAGATGCATAAAACCATGGTTCAGAAATTTCTAAATTGAATATAACAAATGATGTTGCAAAGCAATGAATGATTCTTCTTTTAAATAGCGACATTTTCAAATTTAAAAAGTTGCATTCCTCAAAAGCAGTCATTTTGGGGAAACACTCTTTTCGTACTTGGGAAAAATTAGCAGTTTGAGGACTCCCCTTTCGGAGCTGCATTCAGAACCTGGTCACTCAAGAAAACACAGAATCTCACACCTCACACCCAACCCCCACACTCCCCTGGACCCTACACGGTTGGTGTTTTGTTTTCAGTCACGGAACATAAAAGCAGCCATTTGAAGAGTACAAGATAGCCGCATCTAGTACATCCAAGTGCTATGCGGCCACCGCCCCCGTCAAGCTCCAGAACACTTTGTTCCCTGCAATGGGGACTCCATCCCCTTTAACCAGCCACTCCTGTTCTGCCCTCCCCGGCCCGCAAACACCCGGCTGCTTTCTGTCTCGCGGATTTGCCTATTCAGGACATCACATAAACGGAATCATACAATAGGTGGCCTTCTGTGTCTGGCTCTTCTCTTCTCACTGAGCACGTTTTCAGGGTTCACGCGTGCTGTAGCCCCTATCAGTGCTCCGTTCTTTTCATGGCTGAATACTCTCCCATTGTGTGCATGGCCACATTCTGTCTGTCCATGCAGCAGCTGAGAGGTGTTTGGCCAGGGTGAATCGCGCTGCTCTCAACTCTCGTGTACGGGTCTGGTTCGAGTCCCTGTTCCCCGTCCCTTGGGGGACGTGCCTGGCAGTGGAACTGACCCACGCAGTTCTGTCTTTACCCTCCTTCACCTAAGTCTCCTCCTCCTCAGGAATGAATGATGCATGGGACGGGCAGAGGGAGGCCGAGCTGCAGCGCGCAGGGACCTGGGCAGGGGAGCAGACCCACAAGAAGGAACCAAGGAACTTGTCAGCATGAGAGCCACAGCGGGCAACGACCGCAAGCCAGAGCCCTGCTTGGCCACAAGCCCGCGCCATGTGCAGGGCTGCGCACGCTCACTTCCTGGCCGCCGCTGCAGACTGAGCACTCCTCTACGCACGAGTTTTCTGCTTAGAGTAAACAGAGCAGCATGCGATACTGATTACGTATGTAATCCCAAGTAAAGGCATGGGATTATCATGATGCCTCCGTGTTTTAATACAGTGCTTCTCAAGCAGAAGTAACTATTCCTCCCCACTCCCCAGGCAATGTCTGGAGATATTTTTGAATGTCCCAACTGGAGGTAGAGGTGCTACTGGCTTCTCTTGATAAAATGGCATTAAATTTGTGTGATAAAATCCCTTTGGTTGCCTGTGGAAAGGCCAGCATGGAGCAGCCCCGAGGCCTCCGGCCAACCAGTAGCACCAACTAGCCAGCCGTGTGAGGGAGCACTGTGTACACGGATCCTCCAGTCCCCAACATACCTTCCGATGACGGGAGCCCCGGCTGGTATGTTCCCTGCGACTTCCAGACAGACAGACTCAAGCCAGGATCAGCCAGCTAAGGCAGCATTCCTGACCTTGAGAACCTAACACCCTGCGGGAGGCAGGTGGAGACACCTGGGAAAGGGGCCTTCCAGCAGGTGCCTCATAAAACAGGAATAATGATTTGCAGGGTTGCTGCCAGGAAAGCCTGGAACCAAAGGAACTTGGAAGCCAATCAGCTGGAGGCTTAAAATAAGCAGAGGAGTATTTGCCAAAGTACGTTCTTCAGAGTGACATTTCTCAGGTGGTTTAGTAGTAGGTGTTTAGTATGCATCACCTGAAAACAGCTCCTCGATCCAAAAGGCTCTGCGACACCAGGTTATAGTTAAAGAGTAATGATAGCCAACACATATATTGCACCTATTGTATGCCTTGCTCTCCTGTAAGTGCTTTGAACTTAT